TCTCTTCTGTGTCTCAAATCATGCTGAAAATAATCTAGTGAGTAAACTCTTGGCTGGGGACCCCAAATGTTGTATGGTCAATGGATATATCCCCTGAAGACTTGCTTTAAATCTAAGATGGAATACAAAGGACTTTTACTACTATAGCCGTTAAAAAATACAGCTGTTATTAAAATAGGGGGTTATCATTCATGGTTTGGAAACTAAAATACTGAGCTCATTCTTTAAAATCCATCTTGTTACAGCTGGTTATAAAACAATAAACAAAGGCTAATGAACAGAAGACTCACTGTGTCGTGTCTAAAATTAGACTGCATGACATTTGCATTGTCATGGGCTTGTGGAATACACAAAGGCTATTATATTATTGTTATAAGCATCATATGTATCTTTATCAGTTTGTTAATTACAGCTAGTTCAGTATATTGCTAGATCAATGGGTAAGTGACAGCATAATTTCTTACAGAAAAGAAAGACGGAGTGGGTATAAAGAGGGATAATTAGTACAAATCGCAACTCTTGCAAGCAGCAAGTCATCTGAAGTTCCTGGAAGAAACAGCACAAAGAGAAAGGACAACATTACCTCCGTCACTGCCCTCCTGCTAGAGGTACTGGATCCTCAGACTGACTCAGTTTTGATCCTCACCTGTACAGCCAAAACAAACCTCATTAGCAATACCCTGCTGTTTAAGTGAGAGGCAGCATAACCATTTGTGTCAGCATAGGATAAGAGATGGCAATGTGGAGCTGGGAATAAGAGGGTTGGGAGAAGATGTGATTTAGATAATCTGAAACCACCATGGAATCACACCTTAAACTGCCTAAAATAAGCCGTCTCATTTTGACAGAAATGAGTTAAAGAACGATCGTATCAGTGGCGATACAGGCAAGCTTGAGAAAATGGCATCCTCCAGCTGGAACAGCAATGAGGAGGCTGAGGAGGGCAGAAACTGCAGCTGAGATAGACCTGGTGAGCCTCAGTTCACATCACAGTTCACACGTGCCTTATCATACACCTGAAACTGCATTTAACAGAGTGATTCTGATCAAGAGGAGATTTAAGTAAGAAACTCTAGGCTAAAAATTCTAAAGAGAAGAAATCCAGTCATGTAATTGATAGGTGGGAGAAAAACAGAACAGTGCTCTGCTGGCATTTTAAGAAACGATAAACTGAAAACTGAGCAGGAAATGTGACAAAAATTTAAAACAAAGAGGCAGGATTAAAAAAAAAAAAGGGAAGTTTTTAGACTTTGCCTTTATGACACCAAAATACATATATTTCTTGAACCATCTGGGTAGTTCTAGTGATTCCAATTAACTAAGCGTTTGTAGAATGTGTGGTTTGATCTATGCAGAAATACTTCAGTATGCTGGGAAGTGACAAATCATAATACAGGTCTGGTGTGACTCCTTCAGAAATTCAATTCTGAGCTCCCATTACCATAACGATGCTAATATAGCGGAAATAGCTCAGATAAAGAGAAGTGAAAGTTGGGTGCTGGATTATACAATGATTTAGAAGATTTATAAACACTAGAAGTGTGTATATACTCATGATGGAGAATTCATGAAGTACAGGGAGCTAAAATGAAGAATAATAAAGTGTAAATTAAGGAGAGAATTTATAAAAGCTTCCTGAACAACAGGATATTTTAGACTGTGGAATAGCCCCACAAGGAGCCAACAGAGCTGCACTGCTTGAGAACTTTAAAACTACTGAGGACAAAATAATGTACAGAAGAGTAGTTCCACAGGCAAAAGAGTAGACTGTCTGAGCTAACAAATCCATACGCATCTGTTCCTGGACTTAACGAAAGACAAGTTCAAATGAGAACAGGATGGCTGCTAAGTAAACATTAAATATGATGAGGACAAGCACCAACAATAGTAGTGCTCCTTTTCTATGTGACTCTAATACCGTAATTGCCTCATTCATTCACTTTAGTTTCACGCATGTCTCCTTTTCCCCATGTCACTTTCATCTTACAATTATAATCTGTACCATAAAATGGGAAAATGGGAAAGTAACATATCTGCAATTTTCCTCAAGTACAATTGATTATAGCATTCCTTGAAATGCCAGAAAATTGGCTTTCCTTTCAGACTATCCACATTTCTACACAAAAGCGTTTCCAGTGCTGGTTTCTGCTGCCACAGCTGTTTTGTAGCCAGAAGAATAGATTTTTTTTTTTTTAGGATGTCAGTAATAAAAAGTAATAAAAGCATGACACTTCCCAGAGCGACTGAAGCTACTCTTAATGAAGAGGTAGAGAGGGCAGCACAATCCTACTCCCTTTTTCTGCCAGTTGCTCTGTTGAGCCATTTAAAGATCACCTGGTAAAAATCACCTTGTCTGATTATTTCCATCGTTAATGTTGGCAAGGTGAAGGGCACCAATAGTGTCAAGAAATATAAGTCACTATAGGATTTTTTAATGTACTCCAGCTGAAAGAGCTGTTTCTTTCAATCCCTTTCAGACTACATTTTCACCTTATATTTTCAGCTTAGCAGCATTAAAACAAACCAACCCCCACCCAAAACAAGTCAAGCTGTTTTGCTGTGGAAAACCTCTTTGGCTGTACACAAATGAAAAAAAAAAAAACTGCATTTTCATAACTCAATCCCCTAAACATACGACTGTGAGGAATCCTGGGAATTTAATTAGCGATCACAATCAAGGTGACTTTGGGAGAAAGGCTGATGAGGAAATTCAACCGCGCCTGCTGAAGCCCGGCACCCCTCCCACCACCCCCACTGGGGCG